TGCCAGCTCTCCAGTTCTGAGGAAGGTTTCCTCACCCCATCCCCCCCAAATCCACCATCCCCAGTGGGGAAGGGAGAGCAATAAAGTAAAAAAAAAAAAACAAAAAAACACAAACAAAAAAACCACAACACTTTGCCCAGTTCATACAATCAGCTTTGAAGATTCCTTTCTACACCTTCTCAAGAGTTTAATCAAAGTCTGTTTACTGGGTGTCTCGCAGCAAAATGAAACCCTCCAGTTTCCATGACAGCGCTTGCTGATGCCCGAGCCAGCCCCGCTGCTTCCCCCGGTGTTCCAGCGGTGGATTCCTGCTCTCCAGAAGGGAAACGCGGCATTCCCAGTGCCCAGCGCCGCTCCCTGCCCAGCCGTGGGGAGAGTGGGATGCAAGCACTGCTCCCCCAGGAGTTCCCAGCCCTGAGACGCTCCGGAGGCACCCGGAGTAATCAGCGCTCCGAGTTTGTTTGGATTTGCTGCTTCCATGTTAAATATTCATGGGGAAAAGAGCAAAGCACGAGGAGTGCAAATGTCTGCACACAGTTCCGAGCTGAGAGGCCACATTTACATCTTAATGGTGGAAGATTACAAAGCAAAGAGGAGAAGGCACAAAGCGTCTGCAGAAACAGAGAAGGGACAAGGGACGGGGCATGTCCCGAACTGGAGGAGGCACCTGGAATATCCCAAGCTGGAGATGGGCACATGGCATTTCCAAACTAGAGAAGACACACAGCGTCTCCCAGAGTGGAGAGGGAACACAGCACATTCCAAACTGGAGAAGGCACGTGGCATCCCCAAAACTGGAGAAAGCACTCAGCATCTCCCACACTGGAAGAGGCGCAACAGCACCTCCCAAACTGGACACGTGGCATCTCCCCACACATGGCAGATCATGCTCAGGTTTGTCTCCCATCCAGCAGGGAGCAGCCACTCCAAGACACCTTCTAGGTATTTTTGTTTCCCAGGAATGAAAACAGAAGGAGAAGGGCAGGGTAAGGAAGCAGCCCAGCCCCTGCACTGCTGCTCCTCCTCACTCCTTCCCCTGGCCCTGCTCAGAGCCGGCTCTTCCCAGCTGGAAGCAGATTTTACTCTGCACTTGTGAAACTGAAATTTAACCTGCTGGAAACACGTTAATTAAACTTGCTGGTTCTCCTCTCCGAGCAATTCCCAAACGTGGTGCTGAGAGATGAGGTTTTCAGCTTTTCCCTCCAGATAAAATCCATCAGCCCGATGCAGCTCAACCCTGGAAACTTTTCCTCGCGAGAGTTTGGTGCATTTTTCATTCCTCTGCTTCACCTTGCTCCACTCAGCACATCGAGAGTCCTGCCTGGACTCTCAGGATAAATCCCTGGAGGAAATCCTGGCCCTGCCCTGACCTGTGACCGTCCCCACACAATTCCATTAACAACAACGACACAGTAAACCAGAGAAAGCCAGGAAGTGTTTCTGCTCTATCTCAGAAGATAATTCCCATCCACATCTCTGTATTGGCAAAAAAAAAATGCATCCAGGACCAAAATGGAACTTCCCCCCCAGTTCCAGCAGGGACTGCTCGGATCAGTTTTGCACATTCACATCAGAACAGCCAAAGCTTCTGCAGCAAAGTTCAAAGGAATTTTCAGCACAGCTCAGCGAGTGCCTGGCCTGTATTTATAACAGTCCTTCAGAAGCTCCAGGGGTGGGGAGGCAGCTTTGGAAAGGGCAGTGGGAGATCCCGATAACTGGGCAGGGCTCAGTCCCAGAGGCTTTCAGAGAGTCACAGAATCCCAGGAGGGGTTGGGTGGGAAGGGACCTCAAAGCCCATCCAGTGCCACCCCCTGCCATGGGCAGGGACACCTTCCACTAGCCCAGGTTGCTCCAACCTGGCCTTGGACACTCCCAGGGATCCAGGGGCACCCACAGCTTCTCTGGGCACCTCGAGCCAGGGTTATTCCAAACCGAGCAGGGAGAGGCCCTTGTGCCACCACGACAGCAGAGCAGAGGCAGCTTCTGATCAGCTGAAACAAAGACCTGAAAGCTTTCAGGCTGAGAAAACTCACCAAAAAGATGGATCTTGAAAATTACGGAGCAGCTGGCACAGGGCTCAGCTGATGTGACACCACTCTGAGCAATCACCACCACTGCAGGTGTTCCAGTGGAAGCAGGTGATGTGGTGCACACCTGACTTTGCTCACCGGAATGACACACTGGGCTGATAAATGTTGATGTGGATTTGGGACCTGAGCACCGACAGGACAAGCAAACGGACACAGAGGCATCTCAGAGAGGTCCTGAGGTCCAGACACCATCCCATTTCCATTGTCCCCACTGACTGGCTCCTGCACACCCCACTTGGGATCACCTTGGAGCGAGCTCTCCTTGTGCAGCTCCTGCAAAACCACCCCAAGGCTCTCAGGAAAGGTGGGTCAGGCACTCCCCCAGGGCATCTCTGAGCTGAGAACGTCTCCAAACCCTCCTGGAGCGGTGGGAGATGAGGCTCTGCTCCAGACCCTGGAGTGGGACCGACCAACAAGCACCAAGGTGTGCCACAAGGAAGTGTGATGGTACTGACGATCCCTCCTAATCCAGCCTCTTAAATCCAGTCCTCTGAAGTCCAACCAAGAAGCCAGAGTGCAGCAGTTGCCATTCATGGCAGATCCATGTGGCATGAGGATAAGAAAGAGAACAGAAATGATGGAACAGCCCAACTGCACCATTTCCACAAACACTCTAAGAGTGTGTCCCTCATCCCTGGGTTTGCAGCCTTCCACTCTGACCTTCTTCAAGCCGGCGCTGATGAAATAAGCAGTGCTGAGACTGCACTTCCACGGATGGAAACCCATGGATTGGGAGCCCAGTGGAGCCACACGAGGAGTCCTCCAGCCCAGAGGGCTTTAAAGAGCCCTCATGGACCACCCAACATCCACACTGGCATCTGACTCCCAGCCGAGCTGCCCTCGGCCGGTCCTGGCAGCAGATGGAGCCCTTGGGGGATTTCCTGGCACAGTTTCTGGGTTGTGTTCCCCTGTAGGAAGTTCAGTTCTCACCCTCTGGGCTCGCTCTGCGTTCTGAGGCGAGGAACAGGGAGAGGGGACGGCCCCGGCTCAGCTGAGCGCTCCGGATCCAGATGGAAACAGGGATGGAGTCTCCTGCAGTCTTGCCAACCACCCCTCCCTCCCCCAGTGCAGCCCAGCAGGGCCTCTGTGGCTCTGTCTGATGGTGGGGACACCAAATCTCATCTCAAGCAACCCCAGCCCCACGTGGGCCCACTCAAGAGGAAGATTTCTCTGAGAGCATCACCTCCCAATTTTTCCAAACCCTTCCAGATCCCTGGTTTCGGCATCCCTGAACCGTTCTGATGGAATGATCAGAGGGAAGGGCACACCAAGGAAAGCCCCCTCCTCACCCTCAGGGAGGTGAGCAGCTCTCCTCCAAATGCCCCTCCTCATCCTCAGGGACTCCTCTCTCCCCCTCTCCCACACACACTCCCCAGCTCTTAATGAACTTCCCAACCCAGTTTCTCCTCCCTGGGAAGCTCTCTTCCCTGGGAAGCTCAGTGCCAGTCCCCCTGACGGTGGGCAGGTGCCATCTGGACCCGCTGCTTGGCGTGTGATTAGTTTGCAACTGTTCCCTGACCTATTTTATATAAACAGCCGTGGCTGAAACACGAACGTTTCATTGCACCTGACATGTTTTTCCTGCCCTTTTTTCCTCACACTTTTTCAATGGAAATAATTGAGCCAGTCAATCACAGGTTCAGAGTCCAACAGAGGAGAATTTAGGCTGGCAGGGACTTTTGGAGGTCACCAAATCCAAAAACCTCTCTCACGGCAAAGACAGTCGCTTTTCTCTCGAATTAATTAACTTTCTCGTCATCACTGCTCACATGAGGAATTTTCAGGCTTTTCCCCACGTCCTTCCTGACTTTAAACCTTCCCCCAAATTCTCAGCAGCTCTTTCTGACTACCAGCAATAGCTGAGAGAAGGAGGGACTGAGGATGTTTCGGGCCCAGGTTTCTGGGTTCACAGCCACTTCCAAGAACCCAGCTCAGTACTTGCTGCCTGCTACAAATTCCACAAGAACTGATTCCAATTGTCTTTCGTTGATTTCAGGATTTTCACAGAATCCCAGAATGGTTTGGGTTGAAAGGGACCTTAAAGCCCTTTCAGTTCCAACTCCGACACCTTCCACCAGCCCAGGTTGTTCCAAGCCCCGTCCAACCTGGCCTTGGACACTCCCAGGGATCCAGGGGCAGCCACAGCTTCTCTGGGCAACCTGTGCCAGGGCCTCACAGCCAAGATTCTCTTCCTAAAGTCTTTTTTCCCCTGCTGGACTGATGTCTCTGTACCTTCTGTGGAGGGACACCTGCTGAGAATTAACCCCTCCCTCCATTGGCAACTCTGGATCAATAAACTCCTCAGGATAATTCAAGAGAACTAACAAGTGTCGATTTTCTCCCTGATCTAAAGCTCAGTTTCACGTGGCATTTATCACACGGTGACGTCCCCACCGGAGAAGGACAGAAGAGGCGACACAAGGGAAAAGCCCGGAATCCTAAAATATTCCTTCCTAAGGCAAACACAACCAGAAGAGCCGCTCCTGTTCCCTACAGGACCTTCAGTGTGGGGCAGCTCTGTGACCACTGTCCCTGCAAGGCAGAGAACGTCCCCTCCTTGCACCAATCCCAGTTAATGGCCTTGGCTGGGAAGGATCTCTGGGCTGGAGCAGCCTCCAGGATGCAAAGGGAGAGGAAAAGGTGAGGGTTTTATGGCAGAGCTTTGCAGAGCTGCTCCTGACTAAGGGCCTGGTTCATTCCTTACCTTGGCAGCCTGAGCCACCCTGGGTGAACGGTGTCCCAGCCTCCCTGGGCGACCCCGGGAGGAAAGCAGAGCTCTGCCACTCCCCAAACCCAAACTGGAAACCAAACCAGGAAAACCCACCAACCCACACCCCACCACCCCAGCCCTGGGCTCCCCAGCAAGCTACAGAGGGAGAAAAAAGGGGCAAGAATTAAAATCCAACTCACCAACATCGGACTCTTTGTGGGTTTTGATGATCTCGGCCAGCTCGAAATTCCCTGCAATGATGGCCACCTGCAAAGAGACGGAGGGTTGAGCGGCCCCAGTGCCACCATATGGGCTGACAACAGCTGCTTCCCGTGGGGAAGGGGCCAACAATCCTTCTGCCTCAGCTCCCCCCAGTCAGCCACCCCGAGGTGGGACCTCCTGGCCCGGTGGGGCGAGCGTATGTCGAGGGTTTGTGCGGTGAGAGGGCGGCCGACGGCTCGGAGAGGGACGGTCCCCCCTCCTCGGGGTCTGCTGGTGGCACACCAGCCACCAGCCAAGAATTCATCCTGCACGTCCTGACAACGTGTTCCCCAGCCTGAAGCTGTGATTGGAATTACACAACTGTTAAGGCTGGGAAAGACCTTTAAGGTCATCAAGTCCAGCCATCAACGAGGCACCACCACCGTGTTTAGCACCTACCCATGTCCCCAGGTGCCACAGACACAGGGTTTTTGAACCCTTCCCAGGGTGGGGAGTCCACCACTGCCCTGGGCAGCCTGTTCCTGGTGAAAGGGGACTTACCTGCTGCCAAGAACCCTGCCCAGATCCACGGGACCAACACACACTCGCTCCCGGACACGGAGCCACTTACGCTTGGGGACTGGCAGCAGGAGCTCCCCCCAGTAGAACCACAGCGTTCTAGACTGACATCAAACATTGCTTTTCCCACCACTCCACAGGAAGGAAATCCCAAAGGGACAAGGTTCTTGGAGAACCCAAAAGAACGAGGAAAGAGGGGAAGCTGAATGGGGGTCTGCCAGCAAAACAGACAGAGCTGGGTCTGTCCTGCTCTGGGAAGGGATTCCACAGGTGTTCCTGTCCTGAGGAGCTGCAGGACATCAGCAGCCTTCCCAGAAAGGGTGGTGAGGCCTTGGCAGGGGCTGCCCAGGGAGGTTTGGAGTGCCCAGCCCTGGAGGTGTCCCAGGCAGGCCTGGCCGTGGCACTCAGTGCTCTGGGCTGGGGGACAAGGTGGGGATGGGGCACAGGGGGGATCCATGGGCTGGGAGGGCTTTTCCAGCCTCAGGGATGCTGGGATTCTCTGAAGGCAGGTTAATTAAGAGGAGAGACTAAAGTACCATCTCCTGGAGCAACAGTTCAACCAACAGACAGAGACATCACTGACTTCTCACATACTTGGGGAAAGAACCCCCAAACCAGCACCACATCCCAGCTGGCAGAACAACCCAATGCTTGGGAGGACAAGGTGCAGAAACATCCTTGACACATGTGAAAGAACCCCAGTGAGATGGGTCAGAGCACATGAAATCCACCCCCAATCCTCAGGAAAACAAACCAGGAGATGAACCAGGAGAACTGGACCGAGCTGGTCGAATCGTGCCTTTGATGCCCCCACCAACCGCAGCCACCTCGGCCCTTCCCACCCCCTCCCACACGCCCAGTCGCCCCTCAGGATGGGTGTCCTCTCTGAGCAGCACCCACAGATTATTTGGGAATCAAAAGAAACCAGATTAGGTGGATTCTGGGCAAGAACAAAGTGTGAGAACACGCCTGGGCGCAGCTGGGACCCTTGGTGTGCAAGAGCAGGCCAGGAGCAGCACCCAAACCCTCCCAGGCACTAAATCCAGGGCAATCCTGGCAGCTCCAGCTGTTGAACGCTTCCCTGCCCTCCTACAAGAAGAGCTTTCAGCAACAGGAGGCTCATTTGCATCCCAGCCCCAGCTTGTGACGGGGGGGATTTATATTTACGCGGTGACTCAGAGCACACGGACACCTCTGGTACCAGCCTTCCCCAGCACAAACAGTCCTGCTACCTCAGCCCAACAATGTTTAGGGGACTTTTTTTTTGTGTATGTGTGTTCTCAGACCCAGAATTCGTGCTCCACCTTCTCAACCAGAGCTGGAAGTGATCAGTGAGGGCTTGCCAGAAAGGAAACCTTCCTTCTGCCTTGGGGAAACTAGGCCAGAGCTAGAGAATATTGAGTAATGCTCTCTGTTTTCCCCCCAAGCTTGCTCCAAATTGTGATTTTTCTGTCTCTCCTTATATATACACATATATATTTATAAGATCTGCTCTCCCAAAGGTCACAGGCAAAGACAGTTTTTTGTATGGAAGGGCAAATGACCTGAATTTGGGGAAACGTGGAAGCAAAAATAACCAAACTGACAGAAGACTGGAAAGGAGCGTCTGAACTTCAAAGTTCCTCAGATGAACAATTAACCATCCAAAGGTGGTTTCCTCCAAAAAAATCCAAATCTAAAGTACAAATTACAAGTCTCATTAGACGTCTGTCTTGGGAATGATCCCTAAAATGGATGGGGAGTCACAGAATCAGGGAATCCCTGAGGTTGGAAAAGCCCTCCCAGCCCATGGATCCCCCCTGTGCCCCATCCCCACCTTGTCCCCCAGCCCAGAGCACTGAGTGCCACGGCCAGGCCTGCCTGGGACACCTCCAGGCCTGGGGACCGTGGGCAGGGACACCTCCCACTATCCCAGGTTGCTCCAAAGCCCATCCAACCTGGCTTTGGGCTCTTCCAGGGATGGAGCAGTCCCAGCCATATCCTGGCTCTGGCACAGGGTTATTTTCTGAAGTGCTGTAACACCTTGAGTCATTCCACAGCATGAGATCAAAGTGACAACGCTTTTTAATCCAACAGCAACCTGCCTATTTTTATCTCTTTAGGCAAACTCAGTAATCTCTGAAAGAAAGAAAGAGGAGATGCCACCAAATACAAATCAGAGATCACAGCCTGGTTAAACAACTTTAAACCACATAACTGGGCTCTACCCTGGTCCTGATTCGAGGGTAATATTTAATTTTCCTTGTTCTGAGCTGTCACTGTGTGTTCATATTAGAGGAGCTGCTCTCTCCTTTCACCAGGTTTTGATGTGTGATGGAGAGCAAAGATGGATGGACTTTCCTACGGGAAGACACCTCCAGCTCTGAAAGGGATCTGAAAGCTTGGACGAGGAAGAAGACAAGCTGAGGTCACCAGAAGAACTCATCCAGTAAAAGCAGGAGCACAGAGGTGGCACCTCTGGAAGCAGACAGAGCCCTGCAGCCCCCCCCCTGTGCCTGCTGTCAGCCCCTGTCCCCCACACAGAGGACCTGGGACACGATGGGACAGGATGGGGTGGGACAGGACACGACAGGAGCTCCAGCTCCCAGCCCTGCAGCTTCCCTGAGGAAGGAAGAACCACAGCACAAAGGGGATATGAAATCCATCCTGGTGATCCTGATGCCGCAGCCAGGATCTCAGGGGTCCTGTGGAGGGCTCAGGCAGGAATATTTCTAAGGATAGGAGTGCTAGCAAACCTGGAATGCAGTATTTTAACACAGGAAATGTGAAGAACAGCTGAAGATTACAAAAATGGAATCACTTTCCTGGTGCAACAACAATATGACAGCTCGGTCACCTTGGGGTGGTAACACAGAGCAGGAAAGTGGGGAACTGGGGGGCAGAAGAGCAGCAAAACCTATCAGTTGTCCATGAGCCACAGACTCCAAGCCACAGGCAACTGAGAAAGGGAAAAATCCAGTTGCCACAAAAATCTTCATGAAGTGAGAAAAAAGGAAGAGAGGGAGGCAGAGAGCCCAAGTTCCACGGCAGGAGTTTGTGTTTTTGATGATACTTCAAAAGGGAGTTACCTGGAGGAAGGTCAGAAGAACACTGAGTGGTTCTGACAATGCTGGGATGTTGGTGGATTTTCAGACCTGGAAAAGCACAAACCCCCTCCCCAGAGCCTCTGAATCAAACCAACCCCCCTGTTTTCTCTTCAAGCGAAAGCCCACCCACACCGTGCTCCCAGGGGGGCTTCTCAGGCGCAGATGAAACACCTGGAGAAGTCCAGAACTTCCCCCTTATCATCCCACCTGTGCCAAAGGCACCAGGAGAAGTGATAGCCACGGGGCACAAAGGCAGAGCAGGGCCTTGGGGGAGGCAGGTGAGATGCATCATCCCTAGGAGATGATGGGATGGGAAGGGAGGGATCATCAGAGGTGCTGCTGGGCAGGAACAGGTCACTCCTCCTTGGAAGAGGTGGGTAAAAGGCTTTTGAGGGAGATGCAGGCAGCCAAATTAGTATCAGGACACAGTGAAGCTTCTCAGCTCTGCTCAGACAGAAGGACCTGTCAGCGTGCCAGACTATTGTCAGCTGTTTGTATCACAGAACCAGGGAATGGTTTGGGTGGGAAGGGACCTCAGAGCTCATCTCCTTCCACCCCCTGCCATGGGCAGGGACACCTTCCACTAGACCAAGTTGCTCCAATCCCATCCAACATGGCCTTGACTTTTCCAGTTACTGAATCCTCCCACTGCTGATGATTCTCCACCTCTCCACTATCCTAGACAACAGAATGATTCTCTTGAACCATCTCCCGTTATTTACTGAACACCTGCCCTTTTCTCAAAGTCCTCTGCCTTCCCCTTGCCCAGCCCCGTTTCAGGCACGTTCTATATTTGCTCCAGACTTCCAGAAGTCTGGCAGTTCCCCCCGGGTCAGCCCTCCTGCTCACATACGGCAGCTCCATCTGGGCTGCCATACGGGCAGGAGCTCCGAGCCGTTGGCAGCAGTTGGTGCTGCCACTGCACAGACACAGCCAGGCTGGTGCTCCTGGGGGTGTCACCGGGGTCAGTCCCTGCATGACAGCACCACAGACCCAGCACTGCCTGCAGGCACCAGGCAGAGCCCCCGTGCATGAGCTGCAAAGCTGATTAGGGGCAAACTCGACATCCCCAGTGCCTGCCAGACACGCCACATGCACAGGGCAGGTCCAACATCCTCCTGGGGACACCCAACCTCCAGCCCGTGGTCTGCACCCTGCAGGCAGCACAGGGCCCCATTCCTGTTCCATCTGCTGTGTGGTCACTCGGTTCAGGGAAGTTGAGGGGGCTGGAAGAGCCCTCTCTGATCTCCCAGCCCCACTGCTCTCTGAGCAGCGCAGGGCAGCATCTGAGCATCTCTCCTGGAGGGTTTGCTCCTTCCTAGACATTTTTATCCACTGCATTAAGAGCTTTTTTGACTGTAAAAGGGAATTCCCAGTTTCTGAGGTGCTTTAAGAACTGAA